TGGCTAAATGTAAGTCTCATCAGTTTAATTATTAAAACTTCTACACTCTTGCCTGTTATCTAAATTTAATGGCTGGTTATAATTCAAAAGGTGTATTGCAGTATAGAAGAAGGACAGCAGTTAAAAAACCTTTCAGGTTATTCATTTGAAATTACAATTTTATATGCACCAAGAGCCCCATTCTGTAATATTTTAAATGGTCCTTTTAGTTACAATAGACCTACAGAACTAAACATTGCAGATGTTAAATATTTTTCTTATATGCCAGTAGTTTCCTTTAAGAATTCTACAGAATTATATTCTCTGATTTGAAGAAATATTTGTCAGAGTATTAAATTGACCCTGCTACAGGAATGTGCTAGAAGTGACAGTTCTGAAAAAATGGGGTGTCTATTTGCAGAGAGTTCTACTTACTCCTAAGCTGTGAGCAGAGGCTGGGTAGGTGGGGGGCCTCTGCCTTACCAGTGGAATTTCCCTTCTCTAGCAAAAAGAGAAAAATTTGGACAAAGGAGATATCTACCTTCCCTATTTCTTGTGATCATAATGACAGACCTTTGACAGGTTAACAGGATATCTTGGGAGGCCTGGTATCACTTGGAATCCTTTTATTCTGAAGAGATCTTATTCTTAATAGTCACTGTAAGTAACCCTCCTATTTCATTCACATTGGCTTTATTAGACAAAGTGCTCTGGGCTTCACTTTTTCAAATAAAGGAAGGCAGTTAACTCAGGGTTTGGGCAGTGCAATTTTCTAGAGATCCTTTTGTCCTACTAAACTATGGTTGAAATTCCCAGGAATTGCCTTAATTGCTTAGAGATTAAGTGATCAGACTTGTCAGTTTTAGCTGGGCCTGACTTATCCCATTCTTAACACTTAGGAAGGGTGGTGAAGAGATGGTTTAATACAGTTCCTGTAGCTCTGGCCAGGTGGCCCAGCTGGTTGGAGCACTGTCCCACACACCAAAAGGTTGCAGTTGATTCCCAGTCAGGGCACATATCTACATTGTGGGCTTGAACCTCGGTGTACAGGCACCTACAGGACACAATCAGTCAGTGTTTCTGTCTCACATAGATATTTTTCTTTCTCTCCTCTTCTCCCTCTAATACATATTCTTCCCTGTAATTTTTTATGCACCCCTATTAGTTAAAAAATATTGCTGAGTGACCTACAGTCTTGATTTGCCTAGGACTGAGGGGTTTCCCAGACCATAGGAAAACACAGTAAACCCAAGGCATTCCCTAAACAAACCAGGAAATTGGTAACCCTAACTTTGAACCTAAAGTATCTACGTAGCATTAATTACATGTATTCTTTATATTTCTATAAGAGAGCAAAATATGCAAAAAGTAAACCTAAAAAGATGACAGGAGATGAATTTTAAAATAAGTGTGAAATAACATTTATGCCAGGAAAATGATAATCAAATGATTGATATTGTTTGCTTGTACTTGCACCTGTACAACTACAATCTGCAATATCTTTTCAACTATTTTTGCAAGGTGTGATTATTTTGTGGTGCTTGGCTTCGTTAAACCTAGGTAATATAATCTGCATAAATCTACCCAGACTGACACCCTGCAGCAAAGGAAACAAATAAATTCCATAATCACCACTCCCTGTGGAACTCCCATTTCCCCTCAGCAAAGTGTGCTCCCCAGTCAAAAACACAAGGAACTCAGCTGAAGTTGTACACACTGGGTTTGCTCTTTGCAGCTAGTGAGAGTGCCGGTTGTCACAAGAATAATTCAGGAAGTATGTATTGAGAATGCATATGTCTGGCAAAATGCTGTGTTAAAAATGTATTTTCATTCTTGTCGATATAAATGAAAGTGAGGTATAATTTATTAACATCATTAAATTAAAAATACCTAATAGTAAGTAATGTTTCCAATATGCCAAGCACTAAGTGCTTCACATATAATAATCCTCTCAAAAATTCTGTGAGGTAAATGCTATTACTTTTTTATTTCTTGAACTACTAGTAGACTTAAACACATTTTCATAAACTGAACTCAGATTTATAAATATATTTTAGGAGATATTAAGATATTCTGGGAGAATAATACTGTCCTTTTAGAAAAGATGTCTAGGAATTGCTGCATACATATTACCTTACTGAATAAATATTGAGCTCAAGAATATTAGAGTAATGATAATTTAGGGGTCAATATTTCATATAAATATTCCCAGATTTGATTTTTTATTTATATTTGATTTTATGGTTTTGACTTTGGGATAGAGGCAAACTGTTGGGTAGCTCCTGAAACTACCTTTCACCACATTATTTTGTCTTTTTTTGTCTCTGTTCAACTCCTTCATTTATTTTTCTAATGATGCTGTACATTTTCTTAGTAATTTTAAATTTTTCTTAAGCATGCATGAATGGCACATTATATTTTAATAAAGTAAGTTCATCTCCCTGTTGGTAGGATAGGTAATAAACTAAGGCAGGGAGGAGGAGAGAGACGTGTCTCACCCACTGACTCAGCAGTCCTGAGCCCGGTCCAGTAAAACTGCCACAGGTTCCAAACATCACAAGTGGGAGTTAACACAAGAGGAGGGGAGTCCTGGAGACTCTTTGCTGGGAAGGGAGCCTCTGTAGCAATTTCACTAATACAAAGAGTCTTTACTAGCTGAGAAAGAAAGGCTTTACATTAGCTGTACATTAGCTGTACATTATTCCCAAGGTTTAGAACGTGAAGGATGAGGAACCTAAAAACTGAGTAAAGTATATAACCCCTGAACGCTCATACAGCTGAGCGCCCATTTATAGCCTCAGCTCAAGTGTATGGAACAACTTTATTTCCTCTGTATGTAGGGCATTCAGACCAGCTGGGTGCCTGCTTGCAGCTTTGTGCTCATGTGTGTTTCATAAGGAAACTTGCTGTGTCATTTCCACTATATGAGTTCGTCTTTCCTTTGAATTCCTCTCTTGCTAGTGAGACAAAAACGGAGGTGGATGGGGAGTCCCTGACTCGGGTCTCCCCCATTAACATTTTCACTTTTTCTCAGTTTTTCCATCTGTAAAATAAACACAATAATATCTGTTTCTTAGGGTTTTGTTTTTCAAATGAGTTGATATTTTCCAAGCATTTTAAAACAGCACAGGATAGTGGTGGTGATTATAGAGCACTGTGAATATAACTGCCAATGAATTTTACACTAAATGTGGTTTAAATGGTAAATTTTATTATGTATATTTTTCAATAAAATAAATAAAATAAAATAGCACCTGACCCATAGCAAGGATTTTTGAAATAAATTTAGCATTTACTACTTTGTATTATAATTGCTTGATGATTGGTCCAGAACACCTTTAACTGAAAGCCTCATGTGGATAGAAGTATCCAGCTTGTCCAGCATTTGTAGCTCTGACGCAAAGGGGGTCCTAAAGAAATACTTGTCTAGCGAGGTGTGTAGCATTGAAATGGCCTGCCTGAGAGATGGTGACTTCATTGTCAGCGTAATGTTTTAAGCAGAGGATATAATGATCACCTATCAATGATGTGTCAGAGAATATGTCTACTACACGGGACTATTAAAAGTGTCTAAAATTTCTTTGTAGTCTAAGATTGCATTATTCTGTTTATCTCATGCTTTACTAAAGCAATTTTCATAATCTAAGAACACTATCAACATAATAAGGGAATTGCATTTCAGCACTTGCTATCTTCACCCCTAAAGCAGGCTCTGGTCATAGTAAAGCACTCTTAGCCTTTTCCACTTTCCTGGAAAAACTATTACATGTTTTTTCTTTTATTTAGAATGCACTATTTCACCTATTTGTATCATTTGCTTTCTTGATGTCACATTTTCCAGAAAGGCTTTTTATTTTTCATATGGTATAATAGTTACCAATTTTCTAGTTCTCTAAACCTAAGCTACTTGGAGCAGGGGTGTCTCATCCACCAGTCTTTCTCAACCCTGTAATATATTGCCTAGTAATAAGTATTTACTAAATGACTAAATGCTTGAATGAAACCATCTTTTGAGGTATATTGGTTTCAATTGTGTACACCATAGATCATTTTTAAAGGCACATTTCTGTTTAGACATTTTGGCCAAGTGGTTAACAGTGCTTTCTTTGTGGCAAAATTCTGTCCTTGTGTCAATGATTTTGAATATCTCCTTAATTCTAGCAAACACAATGTATTACATACAAATGGTACCCACCTCCTAAACAAATATGTGCTTTTATTTTGTGCCTAGAATTTATGCTCTTCAAATAAAGTTTTTGAAAGAAAAATGTTTGGAGGTAAAAAGCACAGGCTCAAACTACTAGAACACTAGTCAGTTTTGTCTGAAAAGAGAAATGAAAACAAAAAATAAGTTCTTACCTAATGCACACTGGACAAATTGTCAGAGAAGATTACTATTGATATTCTAGGCTGTCTATAAAGTGCTGATGAGAGAAAATATGTAAATATTTCAAGCTTATGAGAATATGACAATCCCTAGTTTAACCCCTAATGTCGAGCTTTCCAATCTTCCATTTATTTTGTGATCTCCCACAAAGAATCATTAAAACACTAAACAAAAGACATTTTCAGTCCATGATGAAAATAAAGGACAAATCCTCCATTAAATTCCCAACTCAACAGGTAAGGATGAAAAAATAATTATATTCAACAAAATCACGGAAGAATGATCATCTATCCTTGCATAATTATAAGGCTCCTCAGACATGTTAATTATTCAGCAATTGACATTTACTGTAAAGAGGGCTTAAATGATGACGCATCATTTGGTATGAGAAATCAACCTGGATAATAACCAACTACATTAATTAGTTTAGTGAAGAGCCTACAGTCATTTGACTCACCCTCCCTTAAGTTCAACCGGCCAGCAGCTAGGACCACCTTTTCCTAGGATACAGGCCATTCTTACCCTCACCCTTTCCCCTCCTGTCCCGGCGGGGCGGGAAGGGGCGGGGCAAGACCCGTAGGCGAGCCCGTCACCGGGACGGTGGGCACGTGTGCACTCGCCTGTCTGCGGCCGGTGGACCATGGAGGCTCCAAGTTCGTTTGCACTGGACTGGTACGCCCGTTCGCTGCCTAAGACGCGAGCGAGCGATTTGAAGCTGTGGCTCTGTGAGCTCTGCCTGCTACTGCTGGCTTCTGGCCTGAGCGCGACTTTTTTGCCGCACGAAGAGGACGTGAGCTTCATCAATGAGTACGTGAACCTCCACAATGAGCTCCGAGGCAACGCCATGCCCCGAGGGGCGAACTTGCGCTTCATGGTGAGGCCCTGAGGCGGTTTGCCCCAACCTCTCAGACTGCAGGTGTTGCGTGCCACGCACCCCCTCGGCCTCACAAAGTGCGGGCCTCTACTCTGAGGTTTAAGGATCACGGGCAACTGCACTTTTAGTTTGGGTTTAAAAATATGTACATGTAAAGTTTATCCACCCGAGAAATAAAAACCAGTCTCTCTAACTCGTTTATTCCCAAGATTTTGCACAGGGCTGGCACTAGGGTGAGTAGAGGCACTCACCAGACGTGCAAAATTTAAGGAGGCTTCAATTCCAGAAATTGATAGTTGAATTTTATACATATATAAAATATATAGTTGAATTATATATATATATATATATATAGTTGAGTTATATATATGTACAATCAACACAAAAATGTCATTGGTGAAGACAATATGAACTTAAACAGGACCATTGGGCTTGAATTGGAAATGCAAATGAGGCACTCTCAGGATGGTACAAGTGAAAAGATCTTGTTTTATTTAAAACTTTTTTTTTCATCATGGCTGTTTTTACATTAATTTTACTTTTAAAAATATTACTTACCTTGATTATTGACTTTTTGGTATCCGCCCTAAATTTTGCTCCGGAGGGTGTGTTTTGGTCACATCACCCTTGTCCAACCCTGATTTTGCATTCCCTGAAATGCTTCTTGCTTCTTTCCCATCCTCCCCACCCCTGCTCCCATTTCTATTTAGCGTCTCATCAACTATTTTCGTGTTGCTACCGAGTCTTCATGATTGTCATTAAAAATGACTGCAAAATGTACTGAAATAACTATTATCAGGCAATCAGGAGCTTCCAATTAACATTATAAATGATATTGCAAGGACTCTCTCTGTAGACCTGAGTCTTTTCTTCCTTCTGGATTGGTTTCTTAGGTCAAAGTCCAAAAATGGCATAAATAAAGAATGTGTTATTTTTAATTTATATGACACGTAGTGATTGCTAGTCTAAAGGATTGTGCTAAAATAAGCAAATACCAACAGTATATAAATGTTTTGTTTTTACCGTATCCACAGTGGCATGAATTTTTCAATCATTTGATAACCTAATAAATTATAAAATGGTACTTCATGTTAATGTCAACTTTAAAATGCTGTTTTGATTGATCATATTTTGGTTCTATCTTGTTCATTTTCTTTGTCTTTTGTATTGTCAGTGTTTCCTCTTCTGTTTATATATTTTCTTATAGAAATATACTAGGATTTAGCACTGTTGCTGAAGATAGTTATTTCCAAGCCAATTTTTATGTTTTGAATTTAATCAGAGTATTTGGGGATATTTGAGAGTTGAGAGGGGGTATGTACAACCCCCTTTATGAGTAATTCTGTTTTTCCTAAGTTTGAAGATTAGCCTTCCTTCTGATAGTTAATAAACACATAATAGCTTATAGTATGTTTTATAAGTTATGTATCTCTAATCTCTAAATATTATATTTCAAACATAAAGAAAATTAGAGAGTAATATACAGAAGGTATATAGAGAGAAAAGTATAGAGAGCAAGTACACTTGTGCATTTGCAATATATATCTTAATAAATGATTATTTTAATATGAATATTGTATTGAAACAGTTTAAAGCCCCAGCTTAAACTTTTACCCTTCTCCTCTTTCTAAAAGTTGGTGTGTATATTTCCACTGATTTTGCTGGGATGTAAATACTAACTGTAAATAGCATAATTTGTTGTAACACTATGGTTTCTTCGAACTTTTCCTTGAGAGCTTTGAAAATCATGCATTTATTTTCATTTTTTATTGGTCATTCTTAACATTTTACTATGCATATAAGTTTACAAAATCCAGAGTTAATCAACATCTATAACCTCCTTCCAAATATAAAAAGATCTTGCAACACAAATTCTGTCCCCTGCCCATGTCCATGCTGTTGTTGTCTTCTAGTATTTTTTCTACCTTCTTATAAAACTTAAAAAATTTAGTTTTTATTATTGTTGTAAAATGCATAACATAAAGTTTACCCTTTTAACCACCTTTCAGTGTAGCGTCCTGTGGCATAAGCACATTCACATCGTTGTGCCACCATCACCACCACTCATCTGCTAAACATTTTCATCTTCCCCTGCTGCAACTCTGTCCTGTTAAACACTAACTCCCCGTTTCCTCCTTCCCCCAGTTTCCAGCTACCACTATTCTGCCTCCTATCTCTATGAATTTGACTACTTGAAGTACTGCATGTAGGAATCATGTAATGTTTCTTCTTGTGACTGGCTTATTTCACTTAGCAATAATGTTTTCAAGGTTCACCTATGTTGTAGCATGTATCAGAATTTCCATTTTTAAGGTTGCACGTCAAAACTGCAATGAGATGTCACCTCACAGGTATTAGGATGGCCATCATCAAAAAGACAAGCGATAGCAAGTCTTGATGAGGATATGGAGAAAAAGGAACTATTTCTATGGAGAAAAAGTGCACTATTGGGAGCAATGTAGACTGGTGTAGCTGCTATGGAAAATATGTCATGTATTGGTTTGATATTATTTCAAATCCACTCGTATATGACAAAAATGAAGTTATTCTAAGAGTAAAGTTGTTTTGACATAAGAATGAGGTAAGATGTGTCAGGATGTCATCACTTCATTTGTGGTTTTTGCTAAGCACTTAGGAGTTAAGCTGATGAAGCGCACTGCTGGAACTTATCGGTACAAAACATCTGAAGGAACAACTATGAATGGGACATTTAGTCTACACATAATAGAATTTCAGCCTGAGCAAGGCCACTCTTTGCTGAAATAAGTAACTCTTTGAAGACTTTTGGGACATTAACTGTGACTGCAGTAAAGGCTACTCTTTTACTAGCAGTGGCCAAAGCTGCACAGTGGCCCTGTGAAGATCAGCGTGCCCATCAACACCAGTACCATTGTACCCTAGCAGCACGCTCTACTAACAAATGACTTTTTCATTTTTGCACTGGCAGCTGGACACCAGCTCTAGGTTGCTTAGCTGTGTCTCCTGAGTATCAACTTGTAAAAAGTGCACCTCAACTAAATTTGGACTTTATTCCCATCATCTCCCCTTGCCTGGAACAATAGTGTAATTAAGCTATCATTGCTTTAAAGTATGTTATTTTTTACTGGTTTATTAAGAGACATCATATATGCTATTGGCTTATGGAATTATTGTAATTCCCACAGTGAACTTTTGTTAAATATTGGCAAAACATACTCAGTTGAGCATAGTATTTCTACCCAAAACAAAACATAAAAGTTCCTCAAAAATTAAAAAACAGAACTGTCATATGATCCAGCAACTGAACTTCTGGGTACATATCCAAAGGAAATTAAAAACAGGATATCAAAGAGATTACTGCAATCCCATGTTCATTGACCTATTATTTACAATAGCCAAGATGGAGAAACAACCTAAGTATCCATCCCTGTTCTTTATCCATGAATGGATAAAGAGGATGTGGTGTGTATATACAATGGATATTATTCAGGCAGGAAAGAAATCCTGCCATTTACAATAACTTGAATATACCTTGAGGTCATTATGTTAAGCTAAATAAGCCAAAGACAAAAGCTACATGGTATCACTCATATGTAGAATCTAAAAAAAAATTTTTTTAAAGCCTGACTCTTAGAAACAGTAGAAAAGAAAGTTTCCAGGAACTGGGAGTGGGGAAAATAGGAAGAGGTTGGTAAGAAGGTATTGACTATAGTTGAAAACACTCTGTTATATAGTTGAAAAAATCAACCTGTTTTCCATTGTAATTTTATTTCAGGGTGAGCAAAGAAATTTGTAAATATCATAACTTATTTTACACATCATCATGGAAAGCAATGAAGTAAAATACATACATACTTGGAGTTGAGAGTTAGACTTCCTGGGTTTAAATTCAAGCTGCGCAATTTATTGGCTATAAGTGACTACAAGTGAACTGCTTGTTTGATTTTAGTTACTTCCTTTGTGAAACAAAAAATAATAATAATGCATATGTCATAGGGTTATTCTGGACATTAGGTGAAATGATGCATAAAAACAGAATAGTGACTGGTGCATAGTGAGCATGTGATGTATAAATAATATGCAAAGTAAGGTGGTAAAAGGATGGTTCGTAGAACATTGTTTGCCAATGAGAAATAACCTAAAAGGTCATTAAGAGTGGAATAATAACATTTATTATATGCTATCAATACTATGGAATACTATGTAGAGATTGCAAAAGTTAAGTAGAGCTAGTTGTGCTAATATGGAACAATCTCTGTAACTGAAAACTATAAGTTTCCAGTCGATGGTGCAAGGAAAAAAATTAAAAATAGCCATTTTTTAAAACAAAAATTACCTTTGGGGAAGGAAGTAGTAGGAGAGAGTATTCTAAAGGCCTGATCTGTATATTTTCTATACTATACTTTATATTGTGTGTGATGAGGGACCCTCTAAACCAGAATTATCTTCTGGAGGGCAGGCCCCTTGTCATACTGGCTCTCCCCTTAGGTAAGTGTTCTAGGAACCCATCTATATCAGTGTACCAGCAAGCATTGTTTTGAGAGGCTGTGTTGGGCTTCACTGAATTTTTTTTTTGAAGACTTTCAACGCCTTTGCCCATTTCATGATGGATGGTTTACAAGTGCACCTGCCCACACTGCACTAACCAAAAACAGCATGACCCCCATGCCCCACCCTCCCTATTCACCCGACCTTGCCTCAAGCAACTTTTTTTTGTTTCCCCCTGAAAGAAGCCCACAAAGGGAAATGTTTTGCCTTACCTTGAAGAGGTAGGAAAAAAAAAACCAGCAGAAGCACTAAAAGGTATCAAAATCAAGTAGTTAAAAAACTGGAGCAGTGGATAAAACACCTTGGTAAGTGTATTGCATCAAATGTAAAGTACTTAGAAAGTGACCGAAGTTTAAAAATGTAAGAATAAATACACAGTTTTTTATAAATAGATTCCAGGGATTTTTTGGATCCCCCTCATATATGTATAATCTATGAAATTAACTGAGAAAACCCTAAGGAAATCTTAGTATTAGTTTTAGGTATACTGTAACATATATACTTAGCATTCTGGTTTTACTACTATTTAGTTGATTTTTCTATGTGCGTTCTTTTTGTTCTTGTCCTTAACAATGAACTTAATGAGGCTCTAAATAATGACAAAAGTACACATTAGTGGATATTTCCAGAGAATGGCCAGGGAGTAGCATCTAATGAAATTTTCTCATGTTTCTGGTAACATCATAAAACTTTATGTTCCTCTTTTACAACATTTATAAACTACCAACTATTATGTGTGTGTGCATATGTGTGTGTGTGTGTGTGTGTGCACATATATAAAATATCCCAGGTTATTACCTTACAGTAAGCACCTAGAGAACTAAATTTATACTTCAGGTTTTATTCCTCACAACACAATATTTTGCATAAAATCAGTGCTGAATAAATAGTTCTTAGATGAATATTTTATTATATTACTATGAATAAAAGGCATGAGATTAAAAATATATATTCTGAGTGGATTGAGCATGGGCTGGGAACCAAAGTGTCCCAGGTTCGATTCCCAGCCAGGGTACATTCCTGGGTTGCAGGCTATAACCCCCAGCAATCGCACATTGATGTTTCTCTCTCTCTCGCTCGCTCTCTCTCTCTCTTGCTCTCTCTCTCTCTCTCCCTCCCTTCCCTCTCTAAAAATAAATAAATAAAATCTTTAAAAATATATATATATATATTCTGAAGAGACTACATGACTATTATACAGTATTGTAGAGTTCTGAACAGACTACATGTAAGTATTACAGTCATTTGCATCATCTAACACACTGACTTTTTAATGAAAAATACACGCATAATCCTTTGTTTCAGGAAATAGTTGTGTCATTTATGATCATCTTTTAAAAGTTGCCTCACAGAAATTCCATAAATAAGACCCATATGCACAAAGTTAGGATTGTTTTCCTTAAATCTTACTATAAGAACTCAAAAAAAATAATGTAGAGCAAACAAACCAAAAATACCCATTGTTACTATTTTGTTTTCTTTGCTTTTGCATTTCAGACCTGGGATGTAGCTTTGTCACGGACTGCGAGAGCCTGGGGGAAAAAGTGTGTGTTTAAACACAACATTTATTTAGAAGAACTACAAATGGTCCATCCTATATTTAATGGTATTGGTGAAAATATGTGGGTCGGCCCTGAAAATGAATTTACTGCAAGCCTTGCTATCAGAAGTTGGTATGCAGAGAGAAAAAAGTATAACTTTGAAAATGGCAGTTGTTCTGGTAACTGTTCTAATTATCTACAGGTATCTAATTTTTATATTATTAATTCAATGAACTCCTTAATTGCTTTACTATTAAGTTTTTATTGATCATTTCAGTTTTACAAATAAATTAAAATGGTAAAATTATTACTTCTAATAGAATCAAATTCTTATCAGCCCTAGGTCTTCAAAAGGTCTATAATTTCATCTATTATGTGAATTATACAATTGAAACATTCCTTTATTTTTTTTATTGTTGTTCAAGTACAGTTGTCTCCATTTCCCCCCACCTGGCCATCCCCACCTCCCTCCCCTGATCCCACCCCATGTTGGTTTTGTCCCTGTGTCCTTTATAGCTGTTCCTGAAAACACTTCTCCCTTTACCCCTCATTATCCCCTGCAATTAAAATTCTTTTGAATATAGGAAATCTAATCTTCATAACCAAAAGATGAAAGGTGTTTTTTTAAACATAATAAACACTGGAAAAGGAAGAAACTGGAAAATAAAATTTATTTTAAAATGATTGGCTATAAACATACTGTAAGTTAAAGACTTGATATTTTTTGCACAGATCAGTACATATACTACAATATAACTGATGGTTTCAAACATTTAAATGCAAATTAATAGTATTATTTCCCTACTTCATATCTAACAATCTACCCTTATACTCAACACTCCACCCTTACATTTTATTCTCCAAAAATATTGAACCACTTGTTATTTCCCATACATACACTTGTTACTTCACCCATCACATTGTTTAATAATCATCTACATGTGATTCTACACTGAAAGCAGGGATCTTGTCATATATTTATTCTCAGTACAACAACCTGACATTATTTAGGTCTTCAATAAATATTTGTATCAGGGTGAACTTCCCACTTTCTTTAAAATATTATTATTTTTCTTTCAATAGACTCTAATATCATGTTTAATGTACAACTTTATGACAGGTTTTCCTAGGCTCCGCTGAGGAATAAATGCTAATCAGCCACAAAATTAGGCAGTATAAAGCTTTTTATTGGGGTTTGGCCTCCCAGCAAGATTCTGTGGCCCAGAGAAAGGTGGGCCAGAGAAGCCTCGCTGAGCAGGGCAGTGGGGGGATATTTTGGGTCGGCTCTCCATGGGAGCTGGGGATTGGTTCCTTGTGAACAAAGCAGCAACATATCATTGGTGGTTCCTGATTTGACGTCCGCCATCTCTTCTGGGTTATAGTTCCACCACCATCTTGACTGTAGTCCAGCCGCTATGATTGATTGTAGTTAGACTCCCTTTTGTCCTACCCTGCCCATCCTGACACTTTACATCTTTGAAATTTTTCATGTTGAACTCATATCTCTTTCATCAAATTAATCATGTTGCAAAAATATTTGATCTGTTTACTGTTATTCTAGAAAGTTATAGTGGTTTTCCATTGCCTTACTCATATCAAAACTAGTCTCCTTAATGTCACTTCATACTCTCTGCAAACTAACAGTCTGCTCCCTGACCTTCTACTGTATGTTTTGTACTCCTTAATCCTAGGATCTTAGACATTTTTGTTTCCTGCATCTGACCTAATTCTAATTTAACTGTTGCAGACATTCTATTCTCTGTTCTTTTCCTGCATCGCTCTATTTAAGAATCACATTTTCAAAACCAATAAGGCTTGGAATAAAAATAAAAATAAAACAGAAATGGTTCCCCTCTCTCCCACAGAGATGAGCACAACAAAATGTACTTTTTTGTCACTTGAGACTATTAGAAATATTAAAGTCATACAGATAATTTCTGGAATATCTCTAATTATCCTCATACCATTACTTCAGTTTAAGACCTGTTTTTCCTTTTATAAGAACAAGCCTCTTTATTCATTTTTTAAATGAAAGGTTCAGACCCTATTTTATAATGGAATTTCTTCAACAAAAGTGCTAATAGTATTCAATTACTCTCTACTCTTGTATCACTTTTCCTTCCCTTCTATAATCTTAGTATCTCTCTTTTTCTCCCCATTGTTTATAACTTTTATTCTAAGAAAACTTTTCTCTTTCCAATCTTCCTCTAGCACTCTCAGATCCACCGAGAACATGCAAACTGATTCAGCAGGTGGGCCTTTCTTCGGCTCTATTATTCTGGATCAGCGTTTCTCAAACTCTTTATCTTAAGGACACTTAATGTTAGAATCTTTTAAAGTGTTGCTCTAAATACAGTGTTATAAATGTTTCCCTAAAACCATGATAATTCTCTATTTGCTCCCATATGGAGAATAGTTCATATTTCTTCAATCGTGTAGTTAATTAAAGGTTCTATGTGAATTGAATATAGTATTGTTTATAATATGGCAGAGTAAATGTTTAGAATTAAATTTCATGTTTCCTTGAAAATTTTATTTTAGCTTGTTTGGGACAAGTCTTACAAAGTTGGTTGTGCTGTTACTCCATGTTCAAAAGTTGGACGTATTAGATATGCAGCAATTTTCATATGCAACTATGCACCAGGGTAAGTTACTTTCAATTTTAAAAAGAATATGAAAACAAATAAATTGTCAATTTTTATATTGTTTTCCTAACTTTCAGTATATTCTCACAGATGTCATTGTGTCCTACAAGAAAATTAAATATAGGATGTTAAAGATGTTATACTGAGATATTTTTAATTTTATAATGAGTCAGTAAGTTATAATTTGGGCATATTAATATTATGTATTGACTAGCCAGTTATTACTTCTTAAATGAATCTTAACTTCAGTATTATTTCACAATACTTACCTAATTAGCACTGAATTCAAATTACTTTCCAAAATAGTTTACTCCAATATTATAAAAACAGTAAAAAGAAGATAAAGTTAGATGTGTTTAAATGTATGCTGTATAAGTTATTTCAGGAGTATATCTAATTTGTAATAAGAAGGACAATTTTAACTGACCATTTTTGGAGATTGCATTATTAATGGGAACTAATATCATGCATATAAGGAACTGTAACATCTCAGAGATGGAAGAGTACTTTTAAAGTCTTCCAATCAAACTATCCATATGAAATTTGAGTTTCAGAAAGATTGTACCAATTTACTGTTCCCTGACATATGCAGAGTATCAGTTAAGCTTCCCCACTTCTCAAAAGGATGAGTGGAAAGTGGTCATTTATTTTTGCTTTTACCTCAGTTACTTCAATTATGAGTGGGACAATATCTTTTCATATGATTAATGACCATTTTCTTTTCAGGAAATAAACTCTTTATATCTTCTGCACATTATTCTCCTGGGTTGTTTCTCTTTTTGATTTGTATGAATTCTTTGTAAATTCAGGTGACTGACTCTGCCACATATCCCAGAAATACATTTTACCAGTATATTATTTTTTCTTTTTCTATGTCTATGATATTTCTTTAGCCATAAGTTAGTTTTAAGGTTTTATAGAATCAAATATATACATATTCTCTGGATTTTTATGTTCTACTTGGTAAGGTCCCACGCTGTTTTCCAACAGCTCTCCATTCTGGCTGGGCCCAAACTGCAACTTTGTCTTCTCAGCACTATGCAGTTTCTGAGATCTCTGTGCAGGTCTTCAGCCTCCAAGTAACTCCAAGATCCTTCCAGAATTTTCCTTGACAAGTGCAACTTAGGAACTGGCCATGGACCCACAGAAATTTTTTATATAGGCTTTTGGGAGCTCTGTTTTGAGGCTCCTCCTCTTTGGGATCCTTGTTCTAAATAAAAGATACCTTAACATTAATGAACACAAATATCTCCTTTTTCCAGAAAATACACATTCTTTGCTTGGATTTTGTTTCTGTAGCTGTGTTGGAAAATGCCCTCAGAGAGAAAAACCAAATAAATATAAGGTCCCTATTGAGTTATTTTTTATTTGCAAAGATCATAACCCTATATTGGTTGTTTTCTAATAACTGAAAACAGTTATTTTATATACAGGGGAGGGTGGGCAAAAGTAGGTTAAATTATAAGCCATTATTAGCTAAAAGATAAATCCTAAATATGGATATGAAATAATAACAATAATAAGAAGACAACAGTAATACAAATAAATAATACAACAGTTAATAAAGAAAGAACACTAGAAAAAATCTTTCACATGCTCACAACTGTAAACCTACTTTTGCTCACTCCCTGTATACTTTGTCCAGTCTTTATGGTTATTTTTTAATTTTTTTAATTTTATTTATTTTTTTATGTTGAGAATGTTTATTAAGGCTCAGGACAGTGAAACAAGGAAGGACCTAGAATAGAAGAAGCAATAGGAGAGCCCGGGAGGGCTTACTTCAGCTCACTGAGAAGTCAGAGGAATGAGGCCTTGGAGATGTGTTCAGTGGGTTAGCCCGGGACAAGCTGTCATTGCCCATTGCTCCCTGCTTGCCAGTTTCCTAGGGCCCCTTTGAGTTTAGGAGATGCCTGTAGGGGAAGAAGAGGGGCAAGGGTGTGCTTCCAGAAAGGAGAGTGAGCTTCTTCATGGTTATTTTAAGCAAAAGACTAATTATTTTTTTTAAAGATTTTAATTTATTTTTAGAGAGGGGAAGGGAGGGAGAAAGAGAGGGAGAGAAACATCGATGTGTGGTTGCCTCTGGCACACCCCCCACCGGGGACCTGGCCCACAACCCAGGCAAGTGCCCTGACCAGAAATCAAACAGGCAATCTTTTGATTTACAGGCTGGTACTCAATCCACTGAGCCACACCAGCCAGGGCAAGAGACTAATTCTTATACCAACTTTCATAACACCTAGAAGTAAAGTATATCAAATATTTAAAAGTTAAAAAAAAATAAAGAATTGCTAGAAGAAAATGTGAGATAATATTGGGTTGACCAAAAGGTTCATTCAGTATTTAAGTAAAAATAAAAGACATTTTTCATCTTCACTAATAACTTTATTATATAACATATTCACCATTTTGTTCCACCATGTTCTGCCATCTTTGAGGAAACTTCATAATTCCATCTTCCCAAAACATTTTATCTTTTCAAGCAAAGAACTGTTCCAGGTGCCTTTTGCAGTCTTCCAAAGAATTGAATTTTTTTCCATTAAGAGAACTTTGTAAAGACTGAGGTAAATGGAAATCCAAAGGTACAATGTCTGGTGAATGGGGTGGATGAATCAGAACTTCCCAGCCAAGCTGTAACAGTATTTGCCTGGTCATCAAAGAAACATGGGGTATTGCATTATCCTGATGGAAGATTATGTTGATTAATTCTGGACACTTTTTGTCTCGAGTGCTGCTTTCACTCGAGTGGTCTAATTTGGAGCAGTACCCATTAGAATTAATTGTTTGGTTTTCCAGAAGGACTCCCTTCCAATCCCACCATATACACATCACCTTTTTTTTTTTAATGAAAACTGGCCGTTGGTGTGGTTGATGGTGGTTCATTTTGCTTGCCCCATGATCTCTTTCATTCCACATTATTGTAAAGCATCCACTTTTCATCACCCATCACAATTTGTTTTAAAAACGAAATGTTTCCCTTATGTTTAAGTAGAGAATTGCATTCAGAAATGTGGTCAAAAAGGGGTTTTTTTTCACTTAATTTATATGGAACCCAAACACCAAAGCAATTGACATAACTAAGCTGGTGCTAATGATTTTCAATGCTTCATTTGGATATCTTGAGTATGGTGGCTATCTCCCGCATGGAATAACGTGGGATGTTTTCAGTTAATGTATCAATTTGATCGCTATCAACTTCAACTGGTCTACCTGATCATGAAGCATCCTCCAGCAAGAAATCTCCAGCATGAAATGTTGCAAGCCACTTTTGACACTTTTGATCAGTAGCAGTGCCTTCTTCAGACACTGCACAAATCTTTTTTTGCTTTTCAGCTGCATTTTTACCCCTCTTAAAATAATGAAGCATACTATTCTGAAAATGCTGTTTATTTTCTTCCATCTTCCAATATTAAAATGGCTACTCAAAAATCTGCCAATTTTGATAAGTGTTTTTTTAATGCATGCTGATATGACAGCTGTCACAATGCAATCTAACCAATTTTTTTCAAATGAAGCTAAAGACAGCTAAGCACTACTAGAGTCATTTTATGAAAAACTAAACAGACTTTTTGGTCAGCCCAATAATATTTTTGGAAGGCTTGTAAAAGCATGACACAAATCTCAAACCATGAAAAAGTACAGATTTTTTCTCTATAATAAAAACTCTATTTGGCAAAAAAAAAAAAACAGTATGTATAAAGTCAAAAGTTAAACATCAAAGTGGGAAAATACTGGTGAATGACATAACATGAATGACCTAATTTTCTTACTTATATAAAATATTCTGACAATTGAAAGAAAAAGTCCAACAACTTAAGAGAAAAATAGTAAATGTGTAGGAACAATCAATTCCCAAAAAAATGAAGTCCAAATATTCTGAAACATAAAAAAAGATACCTAAACTCATGTAAAATAGGAGATAAAACTTAAAATATACTGAATTCAAAGCAATAAATAGCAAAATGTTTGAAAATATGTTAGCAAGGGAGTTAAAAAATAGTGTCTTTCATATGCTGATATAAAAATAATTTTGTAATAAAAATGTGACCATGATGAATAGATATTTCATAATGCCTATCCAAATAAAGGTAGATATGATATCTGACCCAGTAATTCCATGACTACCAAATTATATTATAGGTACTAACTCACGTGGAAATTATATGTCTACCTGGATAATCATGGCTGTAATAAAAATAATAGCCTGAATGCATATCAAAAGGAGAAAATTACTTAAATAATCCTTTGCACATCTATTAAAAAACACTTAAAATCTTAAAAAGAATCTGGAAACTTCCAGTCATATCATTAAGTAAAATAATACCGCAGGAAGTGTAATGTGCTCCTATTTGAATCATAAAGATACACACAGAGAGAGACTGATATACTCCTGAATATACACAGATGAATCTTGTAGAATAAAATATTGGGGAGGGTAGCTGAAAGACTGGTATAGAAACATTACTTTCTCCTTGATGCCTTTGAATTTTCTATCATGAATATATATCACATATTAAATGTTTAATTAAAATTTACTAAAATTTTTATTGAACTGAACTAAAACAATGAATAGAAAGCAACAAGGAAGAGGCTGTATCATATGGGATCCTAAGCTCTAGCAGCAGCTGTAGTCTGAGAAAACATATAACTGCAAATATTTTCAATATTAAGTAGGACTGAAAATAAAGGACTACTGCATATCTTTATAGAAACAGCAACATATAATAACCTCTCCCCCTAAAAATACTTAAAAGATGAAATGTCTCAAAATAATGACATAAAAAAAAACAAAAAAAGAATGAGAAAGGGCAAATAAATCTACAAATCTTTTGAAAGATCAATAAAATATATTAAACCCTCAAGAGCCCAATTAAAGGAAGGAAGAAAAATTTCACTGTTAAGAATTTCTCTGCATTTTCTCTTCTTATAATTCTCTCCTGCCTTATTCCAGATAGAATTTGTTCTTTCAATTCTTCCCCATCTCTTACATGTTGTTTTCTTGT